GCGGCGGCTCCGGGAGGCCGCGGGCTGAGCATGGCGGTACCCGGGAAGCGCAAAGGGAGGAAGGAGAAGAGAGCCGCGGAGGGGTGAGTGGCGCCGCGGGTCCCCGGGCGCGGGCGGGCGTGGCGCGGTGTCGCTGAGCGTCGGGTCTGTCTGTAGGCGGAGCCCGAACGGCGGCTGGCCTGGGAGTGGAGAGTACCTGGTGGGACAGGTGGCCGACAGCCTGAACCGGCCTGGGCGCCGCCCCGGAGGCGGCCCCGGGAGGCTGGCCGCCCTCTTCAGCGCCGGGGAGCCTCAGCTGCCGCCTGTGTACGTGCCCGCGCCCAAGGTGAGTGGCCGTGGGAACCGCCGGGCTGACTCCCGGGCGCCCCTCGGAACCGGGCGCGCCGCGGGGAGAGGGAAGGCGCCAGCCCGAGGCCGCCGGGGGCGAAGGGGGAGGCCCCACGCACGTCTCCGAACTTTTCAAAGGAAACCCCCCGGAAAAGGAAACGGGATGAGGAGGAGGAGAGGACAGCCCAGATTCAAAGGCCACTTTTGCAAGAACCTGCAAAAAAGGTGAAAGTGAAGAAGCTTTCAGATGCAGAGAAAAAGCTGGCAAACAGGTTGGTAAAACTCTTGGTTGATTACAGAACTTAGATGGTAAGGAAACTGAGATGCTTACACCTGCAATATCCATCTTAATTTTTTTCTCATTTCATAGTTATCATTTCTTAAAAAAATTTGTATTATGGAAAACCTTATACATATTCAAAACTTGAAAAGATAAGGACCCCATGTACAGAACACAGCAGTTGATACTGGGCCAGTCCTATTTCATCTCTACCCACTTGTATCCCCGTTTATTTGGAAGCAGACCTAAGGCTTATGTTGCATCTCTAAGTATTTCAGCATTTATATATGAGTTGGTTTTCTTAAACTGTTCATTCAGAGATCAGATTTCCCCCAGCAGCCTAGGATCTTTTTTACAGTTTATTTGAATCAAGATCCAAATAGTACCAACGCTCGTTCCCAGTTAACTTTCTTCTGGGTCTGTCAGGCCTCCTGTTTCTCTTTTCTGTCTCAGCGGGTGGTTTTGCTGCCTGTGCAGAGAGCTAATTGCTAGGGGTTGTGAGCTACTGCTTTTTGCCCTCCTACTTAATGCATCTGTGCACATCCTTGACGGTCCCCTTTCCCTCAGAGAAAGGTGCCTTCCTCCTTGTCCAGGCTGATTCGGCCACCTGTGCTGTGTGTGCATCCCACGTACCTCCTCTCTGCCTCCTTAGGGATTATGCCATCAGACATGTTCCTTTTCCCCCCTTTCCCATGTCTTTGATCTGTCTGCCATATAAAGAGTCTCAGGAGTCTTGAGAGTCTCACCTGAAAATAACAAATCCAGCCAAACAAAATCTTGTCCACAGTTCCGTATGTCTGTCTGGCACCATTCCTTCCACCCGTCCTTCATGGCCAGGCTGTTAGGAGGAGTCTGTGCGCGCTCTTCCTTTTCTTCATCTGTTTTCTGTTGCACACACTTGCAGTCTGGTTGCTCGTGTTTTTTTGAGGTGTCTGACCATATTTCTGCACCAGAGTTCCTGAAGCCACCCTGGCCTGCTTGTCATATGTAGTAGGCAGCCCAGGCTTTGTCTTAGGAGTCCTCTCTGCTACATTTCACATGGCTACTTTTCTCCTCGAAGCTGTTGGTTTCTTCCATAGCGATCTCTTCTGATTTTACTTTTGTCTGTTCCTTCTCAGGGTTATTGTCGGAACCTTTCCTTCTGACTGCTCCTTAAATGATGATTTTCCTCAGGATTCGGTTTGCTGTCATCTCATGGCCTTTTTTCACCCATCTTTCTTTACCATATCATTTGTGCCCATGAGTCGCCGTTCTGATCTTGCTCCTGATCTGCAGACCTGTTTATCTGTTTGCCCACTGGCATCTGCACTGTACCTTCCATATATGCCTCAGATTCAGAATGCTTCAGACGTAGCTCGTTTTCCTCATCAAACCTGTTCCTCTGCATGAGTGGGACCACCAGTCTTCCAGTTGTCTTACACTCCTACTTTTCCCCTGCAAATTTAATCAGTTACCAAGTCCTGATGATGCTGTCTTTTAATTATCTTTTAAATCTGTCTTCCTCTGCCCACCCCTCCTTTGCTCTGGTTGGTCTGTTGTCTTCTCAGCTGCATACAGTTATAACTGTCACCTTTGTCCAGCCTGTTCCTTCCTAATTATCTTCTGCTCTGCTGCCCAGATGATCTTTTTTAAGCACTCGAAGAGTCTTCAGTGGCTCCCCATCCTCTGTGGGAGAAAACCTAAGCATTTTTGGATAACAGGCACAGTCCTCTAGACCTTAACCGTACTGTCTCATTTCTTGTCACTCCTGCTGGGTACTTTTATAAACCACAGTGAGCAAAAAACTAAACACAGGCCTCTCCTTAGTGGAGCTTCTGCTTCAGTGGACGAAGACGAATCATCAACGTTTACTGAGAACTAACTGTGGGAGACACTGCCTGTCCCTTGCAAGGCCTTGTTTCGCTTATTTCGTGTTTCTATACCATGTATTATAAATTTTACCATTTTATCATGCTTACCTCTTCAGAGACCCGACTTCTGAAAGGCCTTTAGTCATCTCTGTCTTAGTATCAGCAGAGGCTAGAACTGAGTAGGAACCGAGGAAATAATTAATGAATGAATGACTCCTACTCCCCATGCTCTCCCCTTGCTCCTTAAGATCCCAGATCAGTTTTCTTGTTGCAGTGGTGCTCAGACCTCACTTTAGCCATGTGCCCCAAGACTTTATATTGTATTTGCCATTTCAGAATTTACTTTCAGCAAACAGCCCTTTAAATATTACAGAACTAATCTAGGTAGGAAATCTGGGTTTTCCTATTGGCGGCATTGCTTTTACAGAGTTAAGTATTTTGCAGGTATATTGACCTTCTAGGCCCCCAGGGGGTGCTGCAGTACCCCTAGAGTTCCAGAGCAGAGAATGGAATTAGTCATTGGGAGAGTGTCAATTAAATCTCCAAGAGCTTTAAATGAACCCACTTTTGTTTAAATGAACTTTTGTTCTGCTGTTATCTGGCAGTTTTAACATATTTTCAAAAATGGAGCTTAACTTTTTCTGACGAGTTTTCTAAAGATACTAGTCACTTTTTGATAATGCCGCTTTTAAAATTTAGATATAGCCCAGCCGGGCGTGGCTCAGCGGTTGAGCATCGACCTAGGATCCAGGCGATCAGGGTTCGATTCCCAGTCAGGGCACATGCCCGTGTTGCGGGCTGCAGCCGATCGATGACTCTCATCATTGATGTTTCTATCTGTCTCTCTCCCTCTCCCTTCCTCTCTCTGAAATCAATAAAGATATATTTAAAAAAATAAAAATAAATAAAATAAAATTTAGATATATTTGTGAATGGTATGTTTATATTTAGGAAAGTCAGAAGTAGGTGGGGAGTGTTTCTCGTCAGTGTGTGCTTTGTCAGATACTAGACCTGACTTTCATGACTTTTTTTTTCTGCCTTAAAAAGAGAAAATGCTCTAGCAAGTGCTGATTTAGAAGAAGAAATTCACCAGAAACAAGAGCAGAAAAGGAAAATTTCTCAATCCGGTGTTAAAGTGGCAGATAAAAAAGTACCTGATGATGTAGATGACACAGTTGTCAATCAAAGGAAGAAAATTCAAGTCAACCAAGAAGAAGAGAGGTTAAAGAACGAGAGGACTGTGTTTGTGGGGAATTTGCCTGTCACGTGTAATAAGAAGGTGCGTATATGTCTACTGTGAGGATTCAGAGAAGGTAATAATTCATAACTTTGTTTACTGTTCTTTATTGAATAAGCACATAGTAAGTCACTGATATATAACTTCATTATAAGGAACTACATAAATCATTCTATAGATTGTTTCCATTATCCACCCCTCCTTTCTAGCCCCATAGTCACTGCCCTAATTCAGGCTTTTGCAGATCTTATTTGAATGATTGCAGTGACCTAGCCTTATCTCCCGTCACATGCTACTGTGTGCAGGGATGTTTCTCTCCTTCCTTCACTGCTCTTTCCCTGGCACTAGAAACAGTGCCGAGCACATAGTAGAGGGTTGATAAATATTTTGTAACTGAATGAAGACATCCTAGTTTTCTCCATTATGTGGGGCTCACTAAACCAAATCATGCACTTTCCTGTCTGTGAATTCATGTGACCGTAATGCCATTGGCAGTCTCTTGGGTCAAAATCCTGCTCATCTTTTGAACGACAATTTAAATTCCACTTTAGCCCGGCCGGGTGTGGCTCAGCGGTTGAGCGTCGACCTAGGATCCAGGCTATCAGGGTTTGATTCCCGGTCAGGGCACATGCCCAGGTTGTGGGCTTGATCCCCAGTCGGAGGCAGGTAGGAGGCAGCCGATCAATGACTCTCATCATTGATGTTTCTCTCTCTCTCTCCCTCCCTTCCTCTCTCTGAAATCAATAAAGATATAGTAAAAAAAAAAAAAAAAAGTACNCTTCCTCTCTCTGAAATCAATAAAGATATAGTAAAAAAAAAAAAAAAAAAGTACAAAAAAACCTGACTTCCTGATTTTTCCCTTTCCCCTTACACTGTTGTCTCCTAGCATTTTATTTGTGATTATATTGTAGAACAGAACACATTCGTAGCATAGTTTTGGTTATTGATTTTCCTGTTCGATTATAAGAGGCTCCAGGGAAGGGAATGTGTGTGGTGCTTTGCACATTCAGTACAGTTTTATGAATTAGAGTTGATTTTAGTTCTAGCTATAAAACATACATTTTTCACATCCTGAGCCAGTCATAAGAATAATGTATAAAATTCACACCAGACTTTTCTTCAATCCCATTGTCCTAATTCCAGATAGTTGGGGAATTTCTCATAGTGACATAAGCATTAAAATTCTTTTCTGGTTTAAGCCAATGTGAAAAGATGAGAGAATTTATGGAATTTATAATCTTAGTTTACATGTGGTAAAGATTATTATAGGTTGAAAGATAAAAATGTTGTGTACCTTATAGATACTAACATGAACTTGTATTGTGTTTTTTTGTGAGTTTCAGTAAAATTTGTGTTCTAGCCTGAATAGTCACCTACTTTTTCTGAAATGTTCTTAAAATAAAACCTGGCAGTAAGAGAGTATCAGACAGTTTTACTTAATTCCTTTTTGTAACACTTATTTGATGTTCTAAAGTATGTATGTGCTTTGTCTTTTTTTAGAAGCTGAAGTCATTTTTTAAAGAGTATGGACCAATAGAATCTGTACGATTTCGTTCTGTGGTATGTTTTCTTCCCTTTAAAATTGCATAATCTCGAGACATGCTGCATTTAAATCAGACTTATTACCATGTTGATATTAGTGAGGTGGATGAGCACTTGACTTTAACCTTTTGACTCGAGGTTTAAGCCTAGCCCAAGAGAAGAGTCGCTCTTAGTAGCTATTGCTGCTCTTGTTTTTGTTAAATAATTTAGTGAATTCACATAGTTAAATGGTATCTTTGCTATTCAGGAATTTTGGAGGGTGAATGGGTGACTTGTGTTTGCTGTGTCAATTGAGTAGGTGGAAACATTAATACTTATTGAATAGCATTTCTGGAATTGTAGGTTTTCAGTATGGGAAGTTTGTGTGGCTGCTGCACACAGTATTTATGCTCTGAACATAGAAAGACAAAGTATTTTTTATGAAGTCAATTTAATGTTAAAACTATGCAAGTATATGGTATCTGACTTCACCAAGTGAGCACTCTACTCTGTAGACCAGTTTATAGCTGCGTTTCTTGGAGCATGAAATAAGCATTATTCGTATCTTTTAAATGTAATTAATGTGTATTAGAGCAGAGGAAATGTTTACTCCTTGTGTCTGTTGTTTCCCACGTGATTCTCTAAAATGAGATACTGTTGACAGTGTGCTGGGTAATTCCTTGCTGTTGGAGGCTGTCCTGTGCATTCTAGGATGTTTAGCAGCATGCGTAGCCTCTACCGGTTAGACACCAGTAGCACCTTGCCCACCCCAGTTGTAACAACCAAAAATATCTCCAGACATTGCCAGATGTCCCAAGAGGGCAAAACTGCCCACTTCTCTAAAAGTAGATGTTTCCCAAGGCTTTGCACAGTTTCTATAATTTTTATCGTGGTGTTTGTTTCTCAGTTTTATCACACGTATTTTGTCTGCCCTGAGTCTCATTTCCTCGTATCAAATCCTTGCCTGACACATCTACTTGGGTGTCTTGCCAGGACCTCAATTTCAGCATACCTGTGCTTTCCTCCATCTTGCCCCCACCCCAACCTACGCCGCCTGCTGATTTTCTGTATGACTTAGTGCCACCAGGCTCAAGCCTTGTCGTGGCCCTTGGCTCTTTTCTTTGTCCCACCCAGCCTAGTGTTTGTCATCCCTGCCTGTTTTTCAACTGTGGTTTCTTCCAAAGATGAGTCATTCATTTCTTTTTCCATCTAAGCTGACGTTACTTCTTGTCAGAATAGCTGTTGAGGCCTCTTATGGTCCTTCCTACCTGCTGCCTACCTCTAATTTATCCAACATACCACTATCAGTTTAATCTTCTTAAAGGACTTCTTTCTGAGGCTCCTGCCTCACCCCATGAACATTACACCACAGTTGTTTCTATTTCAGTATTTCCCTAGAACGTTTTTAATCACATTATATCAGTTAGATATTTAGAATTTAATTAATTAAAATATATTTAATTTGAAGTAATATTTCAAATAATGAATTTTCTTTAATACTTTTTTTTCCTTTTAAAAGATTCCAGCAGAGGGAACTATGTCCAAAAAGCTGGCTGCAATAAAGTAAGTCTATAATTAGAGAAAGGGAGTAATCTTAAGTTCTCTCCCATTTTGGTTAAAATTGAGATAATTTCTTTGATTTTTATACTTGGATAAAACATCATGCTTTACTGTTCCCTTATGTCTAACAGCACATAAATTTATCACGTTTGTCTTTAAGCCTTAACGTAAATTGTAGTCACAGAAAGTATCGTAAAATAACCTACTAGAAAAGATGCCATGAGAAACTTCAAGGATGTTTAATCAGGTGTAGTGTTTGAAGAACATGAGACAGTTTTACACCCAGATATTCTAGTACAAATCATAAATACCATATTTTATCAATTGTAAGGCACACATTTTCCCGTATCTTAACATTTTTGAAGTCAAGATGCATCATCAAATCAGAAGTCCCCCATTGTTGCTGTTGGCTGGTCAGATTTTTCCAGAGAGGATTCCTGTTTGCTTCCAGTGGTCCTTGGGGGGTACTGGTACTGCCAGCTGAGACCTCCCTGAGTTATCCGCTTGAGGATTTGTGTACAATACTGGTAGTGTGGCGATGGCTCAAGTTCTCAAGGGACTTTGCCTGCCCTCTTTTCCACCGAGTCCCAAGAGTGAGACATGCAAGCTTCCTTGCTCTCCTTTTATTTTTTATTTTTTTAATTGAAATAAAATTGACACATAACATTATGTAAGTTTAAGGCATACAACCTTTGCTTTTAAAAAATTTTATTGATTTTATTTTTTTTAAGAGAGAAAGGGAGAGAGAAACATCAATGTGAGAGGGAAACATTGATCGGCAGCCTCCTGCATGCTCCCTACCTGGGATTGAGCCTGCAACCTGGGCATGTGCCCTGACCAGGAATCAAACCAGCAACCTGGTGCATATCACTACACCCAACTGAGCCACACCGGCCAGGGTACAATCTTTAGTTTTAATTTACCTTCGGTTTTATGCAAGGTTTTCTATTAGCCTCCCAATCTTGATTATGTTTTCTTTCTTACTGATACATGAAATAATGGATTTTACAATTAGGATATACTTATTGTATATAATAGATCTATATATAGATATAGTTATATTAGATAAAAATATAATAATGTACTTTAAAACATTTCTGGGAGTCTTGTTATATCACCATTTTTGAATTGCAACAGCCCCTTTGGACATCTAGGCGAGTTCATTCCTGCATTCATTTCTAATTTAGATTTGACAGACCAAGTATTTGCCATTCTTTTTCCATAACCGTCACAGGGCCAGGTGTACAGTGAGCACTTGATAGCTGTGTGTTGCTGATTTCAGGACTGTTTGTTGAGTTAACTAAATGTGAGCCCTCCTTTGTGCAAGGCATTGTTCAGAGGCTGTGGGGAGTAGAAAACTTTGGAAGACTGAGCCTGCCTTTGGGTTATACAGACTTATATTTCTGTGTGAGGCTGAAACCCAGGGGCCTGAGTTTGTGCAGGAACAAAGGTTCTGACAGGAGGAGTATGTAATAGTGCTGAGGGGTTTGGGTGCCAGAAAAATGGAGTTTGCTCACTATGATTGCCATCAATTCCCCCCCCAATAAAAAAATTGTTTAAAAATTTAATTATTTGAAGAAATAATGAGGCAAATGGTTAAAAATAAAAAAGTGTAAGCGTACACAGTGAAAACTTTTTTCCTACACCTTTTTCTTAGTCAGGAGATACCCTGCCCCAGGCAGCTGCTGTTTTCACTGTCTTTCGAGAGACTATCTGCGTTCACATCTCGATGCACATATATGCTCTTCCCCTTGCATGTGACTGACCTGACGCAGTGTGTTCAGCATCGTGCTGCTCCACATGGTCAGCTTTCCACCTGCGGTGCCTTGGAGAGCTGTTTCCGTCAGTGCGAACACCACCTCCCATTCTTTTCCAGAGCCTCTTAGTATTCTGTGTAAGGGGGACCATGGTTTCTTTCAACAGACCCTCCACAGATGGACATTTAGGCTCTTTCTAGTATTGTGGCCGTTACCAGGAATGCTGGAGTGAGGAGCCTTGAGCTTCCAGTGGTGAAGTTGCTTGGTCAAAGTGGACTTTGCCTTCGTAGTTTTGGGTTTATTTTAATCCTCACCCAAGGAAATTTTTTCCATTGCTTTTTAGAGAGAGTGGGAAGGAGAGAGAGAGAGAAACATTGATGTGAGAGACACATTGATTGGTTGCCTCCTGTACCCCCCCAACCAGAGCTGGGAATCGAGGCTGCAACCGAGGTGCGTGCCCTTGGCCAGGATCAGACCCTGGACCTTTTAGTCCACAGGCAAACCCTCTAACCAATGAGCAAAATCAGGCTGGGCTAAAAATGGTATTTTTCATGGGCATTTCTCTTATGAGTGAGCATCTTTCATATATTCAAGTCATTGGTGCTTCCTTTTATCTGAATCGTTCCTTTCATTTACCCTTTTTATGTTGAATTGTTTCTCCTTTTGTTTCTTTCATAATTGAAATTTTATTGGCTGTTTTGAGGATAAGTAACACAGACATTTCTATTTGTACACAATTCTTAGCATATGCACCAAAACCTAAAAAATCATGTAGTTGTGATTCTTTTCTAAATAGTTTTTAAAAAATATTCCAGTTTTATTTTTTATTTTATATATTTTAAATATATCTTTATTGATTTCAGAGAGGAAGGGAAGGGAAAGAGAGAGATAGAAACATCAATGATGAGAGAGTCATTGACTGGCTGCCTCCTGCACACCCCCCACTGGGGATCGAGCCCACAACCTGGGCATATGCCCTGACCGGGAATTGAACCTCAATCTCCTGGATCATAGGCAACCGCTGGGCTCTAAACAGTTATTCCAGTGGCTTTCCAGCTTAAAGTTTGGAGGCACATTTTTCTTTAGCATCAAGTGCCAATATCTTCAGATGTTGATACGCTGTTATATCACTGTCCCATTAATTCACAATATATATACTACATAATCAAATTTCCAGTCTTTCACAGCACATTAACAAAGTTACTAGGAAAACTAGACCAGCACACCAAGGATGCTACAGAGTGCACAAAATTCTGATAGGGAGAGAGCCAAGGCCAAGGAGTGGTTCTCTTCAGGAGACAGTTCTACCAAAAACATGCAAATAGAAGTACAGTCAAACCTCGGTTCTTGACCATCTCCCATCTCAAAGTTGTTTTCAGTCAAGTTCACAGGAAAAATGTCTGAGCCTTTGAAAAAAGCTTGAATTAACATCTCAGGAAACTGTGCTGTGAATATTTTTTTTGTTTTTTTGTTGTTGTTGGTTTGCTTTTGTTGCTGGAGAAATGGACGATTAATACAATTTTAAAACATAAAGAAGCCATCAAGAGTGCTAATGTTGCTAAGGGTATGAAAGAAACAATAATCACAGGCAATTGAAGAGGTAGAAAAATTGTTACTGATTTGGATGAATGAAAAGCAGTTAGCAGTGACAGCATTTCAGAGGCAATGAAATGTGAGAAAGTGAAGATGCCTCATCCTGACCTGAAAGACACCCTGGAACCAGTGCTGAAAGTGGTTTGGTTCAGGCAAGTGGGGGGTGGTTTGATAAATTTAAGAAAATGAGTGTTGATAGATTAAACCATGCATTAGACATGTACTGGGTATAAGAAAGGTTAAACCATGGAAGCATTTAGTGGTCTGAAACAAATTAATTCAATGTACGTTATTTCTAACGGGAAAAAATTATCTGGTTTTCGAACAAATCACTTCTCAAGCAGCCTTCAGAACCAACTAACTTGGAGAACCGAGGTTCCACTGTGTGATAGTCATCAGACTGCTGCTTTCTCTCCTGCTTCATCGGAGGCTGGCTTCTCTGTAGCTTCTCTGATTTCTGCAGGTAGACCTTTAGGTTCCTGGGTGGCCACTTCTGCCTGTTTTCCCTGCTCTCCTTTCTCTTTTATTTTCACTGTTGTCCCTGCAAATTTATCCTTTCCTGCCACCTTTTTTGGCTTTGTTTCCACTTTTACAGGAGCGAGTTTAGCTGACAGCCTCACAGATCTCCTCTTGGGCTCCTCCGCTGCCCCGGTCGGCAGAGCTGACCTTCCTCTTGGGCATCGCGAGGGCTGCAGACTGGGCAGGCGTGTTCTGGGGACCTTTGAGAAGCTGTGCTGCCTGGCTGGTGCTTCCAGCCGATGCCGCCTCCCACTGCCCGGGCTTCTGGGACCTGCTGAATTTTTTCTCTTATTAATCTGTGGGATGTGAAGGAAATTTGTCTTTTGTGATTTGAGCTACAAATATCTTCCCGTTTTTATTTGCTCTTTTTGCTCTGCTGATGGGAGATTTTGCCTTGTAAAACTTTTTTTGCTTTTTAATAGAAAGTTTAAACCATTTTTTCTTAAGTTTTAATTTACCTTCAGTAAACAGCACATACTTAAAGTTACAGTTTTATGATTTTAACACTTGTGTGCACTCATGAAATCATCACCACAGTTAAGATCCTAAATTCTTGATCTCCCCAAGCTTCATCACTTCCTACCTCGTCCCTATGACCACTGAGCTGCTTCCTGTCTCTGGATGCTAGTTTGCATTTTCTAGAATTTTATGTAAGTAGACTTCTCATACAGGATGTACTCTTGTCTGGCTCCTTTTGCTCAGTGTGATGGTTTTGAGGTGCATCGATATTGCTGAATGTTCAGTGGCTTATGCCAGTTGATGGATGTTCGGACATTCAGGTTATTTCCAGTTTTTGCTATCATGAGTAACGGTACTAAAAACATTTGTGTCCAGGTCCTTTCTCTTGAAAAAGTTCATGCAGGTGTGGAATTGCTGGGTCTGATGGCAGTTGTGTCTTAACTTTCTGAGAATCTGCAAATTACTTTCCAAAGTAGTTGCACCGTTTTACAGCCCCACCAGCGGTGTGAGAACTCCACCTTCTGCATCTCCTCAGCAACACTTGGCGTTGTCAGTCATTTCATTTTAGCCATTCTAAATATTTGTCATTGTGGCTGTAATTTGTATTTTGCTAATGACTAAAGATATTAAGCATGTTTTCATATGGTTACTTATTCTTTGGTGAAGTGTCACTTC